TGTCTGTCTGTCTGTCTGTCTGTCTGTCTGTCTGTCTGTCTGTCTGTATTAAGTAATCACCTACTATTGTGCCTGTTTGATTATATATAGAATATTTATGGTACATTTATGATCTACTTATTTTCTCTATATTTGTGAGTGACCGAACATCTGGCATGCTAAATTATCCTTAGTCTTGTTATATATTTTTTTACTATAAATGCAACAGCTAATGATGGATATGTTAAATCTTCACTAGTTTGAATTACCTTTGTTTTTTTTATTTAGAGAATGCATATGAATATAATATTTTTGGTTGGATATAACATCACATTTGGTTCCTCAGTACATATCAGTGCTTCTAGCCCTTTACAAATTGTTACATAAATAGTCAGTTGTAGCTCAAGTCACACTACAGTTTTCTGTCAATTTATATTCATCCAGAAATTCAGATTAAAACCATTCTTTATTTTTTATCATGTTATAGTTAAATGTTTTACCCAGTAAGATTCAAGATCAAGCCTATCCTTGATATCACATATTTACTGCTTGGGTTTTGAGTTTGAATGGCCAGTAAAAGCTGTGAAATAGTGGTTTCTACATGGCCAAATGCAAACATAATCCAGTTATGACTCGCATAATCCTTTTGACAGTTAGGTGTCAGCATATGAAATTTTAGGTGCGGGTTACAGAAAACACCAACAGTGTGAGAAGGGGATGTATTAAAAAGATGAGAAATTGATAAAAGATTTATCTTAAGATGACGCAGTCGTGTAAAGAAAATGAACAAAATGGATTTTTTCTTTTGACAGCATGTTTAACATGGCATGATGAATTTCCAACACTGTTGGAAATTCCCAGAAAGTGAGGGACTGGGGTAAATGGATAAAGTGAGAAGAATTGCCAAAATGTTTTTTTATAGATTATAAAAGTCATTTAGACTTTAAGTGAACTGTTGCTGTCCAACAATGTGCCTATTGTGATGACCACTGTCTGTCTCTATGTAAGGCAAAGGTTTGTGGAGGAGGGGAAATGTGGTTGACTTTCCAGCTGGAGGTTGAATGTAGAGAGAGGGCGCTAGAGTGGTTTGACAAGGTGATTATGAAGGAAAAAAGACAGAAGTAGGGTAATCTGTGAGGATAAGCAGTCCTGCCGTCCTTCCTGTTGAGCTTGATGTGTTTTGGAAACCTGCACTTAAGCACATGCTGAGCCAGCTCACTACAAACAAACTTCCAGTGGGCCTGAGAAGAAGTGTGGGAAAGTTTATTTATTTTTGCAGTTAGCGAGTGAAATTTGTGTTTGTTTTTGCTTATGCCAGTAACATAAGATTACTGCACAATGCACTAGCTTGCAATGCAATTGCTGCTATCAGCTATTGTATCATTAAATGTAAGTAAAGGTTTGTCTATATTTAGACAAGTCTAGCAGATAAAACAGTCAAATGCAATCAGTTATGAGTTCTTGTGAAACACCAAAACAAGCTTTGAGTCTTCAAGGTCAATGTGGCTAACTCCAAAGTCTAATCCACACAAATAGTTACCGCTGTATACATGTTATATTTTGGATAAAAGGCGGTTATCCATGTTGTAAACAGCGGTGTAATATCATAGTTACCTTTATTATATTTTGTATATAAATATTTTAGTGATGTTCTTGTTTCACCTTTGATTTGCAGTAATGTTATAAAGATCACTGTATGTTATCAATGAATTATCTTCCCTTGCCAATTTTACAATGTAAAATGCTTCCCTGTTGTTTTTTAAATTTTTTTTTGTTCCTTAAAGTTTTCCCTGGGTTATAGCTTAGAGCTTATGATCAACCCAAAACAAATACAACGATTAAGTGTTATGCTATACCTTTCAGTACAGTTATGACTTTAAGCAGCTAAGGTTTTCAGTGATTGGGGTTGTCAACATGGACTATATTGCTAAATGTAACTTGGCAGAAGTACTTTTTATATATTTCACTCAAGCTACAGGCCTAACTTGATGGAGAGAAGCTTAGGACAAAAGAGAATCTGAGGTTCTTAAGGTTTTGCTTTAACCCTTTACCTATTGGGGCTAAAAATCTGAATCAGAAATGGCTTTAATTGCCAAATGTTCAACGTACACAGGAATTTAGGTTCCAGCACAACTCGACCCAAGATCAGACACAGACCTACATAATTCGTAACATTGACATACAGGACCCGAGGTTACTTGGGGCGCAGTCATTGGTTACAGCACAACAAGTAACTATCAAGACGTATTTACTGAACAGCATATGTAATTCCCATACCTTAGTCCAGAATAAACATTCTCCACATCACTATCCTCCTCTGACTGTAGAAGTTGTTTTTATAGCTTCCAACATTAGAAATTTGTGTAATAAAAGTTGCACGGATACAACTACCTAACACTTTGAGAAAAAAAATGTTATTTTTCTTTCTGACTTCAAAATATGCCAGACATGTAAACATTGCGTCTATACTGTGGCCAAAATAACTAATGTAGGAGGTAATATACATCAAAAAATGGCACGTAGTAACTACTTTGCTGGGAGAAACTAGAAACACCTGACGCATGGAATTGTAATCCTTTACTAGGTCAGACTTTATCCATAGTGTTGTTACCATTCCTTTTAATGTGAATTAATTCTTGTTTTAAAAGAGTGGAAATCATTCTTCAATGCAAACAGAAAGACAGTTATGTGTGCTGCCCTTGTAAATAACTTTATGCTGTACGATGATAAGCCATGATCATGTTTTGGTCTGTTGTTTGATCCATTCCATTTTTATTTACAGATTTTTGAGCCCTCCTTTGTCCAAATTAGGGATGGAAAACACTCATTGGGAACATTTTTTTAAAATGTTTTTCAACCAGAAAAAAACTAATATATCTACTAATGTATACATCAATGTTTACATCAGATAAATAAATGTACTGTGATATATTCAAGCTAGTTTCTTTTTGTGTCTGCAGGCTTTCAAAGAGATGCTATATGCTGCTCAGGACCAGGCGCCATCTGTGGAAGGTAATATCTATATGCACACACTTGCACACCTTCACTGACTCGGAGACATAGTCTTTGCATACACCGAATATCTAGTCTGCTATTTTAAATGGTCTGACTTTTTAGCACTTAAATGGGGAAGTGTTGTTCGTAAAAATAAGTCATATATATATGCAAGCAAATTACCTTGTATTTTTTATCCAATTTTAGGCTAATATTATTAGATCAAAATAATGTGAGCACAAATGAAACTTGGTTTACATTACTTTTGCTTTATTTTATTTTGACGTGCAATTTTTCTTTTTTAAATAGCCCTTAGACGGCCTGGAGGTGTTTTTGGGGTCATTGAACAGTTTAAAAGCAAACCAGATGGAATAGCATGCCGCTGCAAGATGCTGTGGTAGCCATGTTGGTTCAGTATGCCTTTATTTTTAATAAATTCCCAACAGTGTCACCAGCATAGCGCCCCAAAACTATCACACCTCCTCCTCCATGCTTCACGGTGGTAACCAGGCATGTAGAGGCCATCCGTTCACCTTTTCTGCTTCGCACAAAGACACAATGGTTGGAACCAAAAGTCTCAAATTTGGACTCATCAGACCAAAGCACAGATTTCCACTGGTCTAATTAGGCCATAGGCTGAAGCTCAAAATGTATTAGAAATAGGATTTCGCTCCACTATCCTGGGGACTACTTTTCGGTAGCACTTTTCCAATCTTGAATATGTACTGGAGCTGGGAAAAAAAGTTCTCCATGGGATTCCTGCCAGTATTTGAGAAAATGGGTGCCAAAGGTGGGAGTTTACCCAAAAAAGTGACGATTTGGGGTCTTGTACCATTTTCAAACCCTTGTAACTTTTTTATTATTAAGCCGATCGTACTCAAATTTTTGATTCCCACAGACATTCATACTTACTCTGAGCTTCTAAAGCGGCAATGTTCTGCGTGCTTTAAGTACGGAGTTATTCTAAATGAAAACATACACTTTTGAACAACTTCACAATCTCCCAAAATGTATCTTTATTGCACATGAAAATTGCAATTCTTTGAATTTTCAATTGAAAAATTCTAATAGAAAGATATCCCTTTGTGTCTGGTTAACTAATAACTATGAAAAGTGGTGTAAATTTTATCACCTAGCAAACCAGTTACAATATAGGCCATAGGCTGAAGCTCAAAATGTGGCTAGAAATAGGATTTCGCTCCACTAACCTGGGGACTACTTTTGATAGCAGTTTTCCAATCTTAAATTTGTACTCGAGCTGGGAAAAAAAGTTCTCCATGGGATTCCTGCCAGTATTTGAGAAAATGGGTGCCAAAGGTGGCAGTTTACCCAAAAGGTGACGATTTTGGGTCTTCTACCATTTTCAAACCCTTGTAACTTTTTTATTATTTATGCGATCGTACTCAAATTTTTGATTCCCACAGACATTCATACTTACTCTGAGCTTCTAAAGCGGCAATGTTCTGCGTGCTTTAAGTACGGAGTTATTCCAAATGAAAACATACACTTTTTAACAATTTCACAATTTCCCAAAATATATATTTATTCCACATGAAAACTGCAATTCTTTAGAATATAAGAATATAATAGAAAGATATCCCTTTGTGTCTGGTTAATTAATAACTATTTAAAGTGGTGTGAATTTTATCACCTAGCAGACCAGTTACAATATTGGAAGCAAAGTTTTCGGAAATAACAATAAAAACTAGAAGAATCTTCAAGTAAATTGATACTGTTTATTCAATGGATCTGATATCAACTTAAGCAATCATGGAATTAATGAACAAATAATAACAAAAATAATAGTAACAACCCCCCCCCACCACCACCACCACCACTCCATCCCCACACCAACAAGAGTTACTACTTCTGTTTGTTGCAACATTTATGAATATTTACAGAGAGAATTAATCATCTTCAGAAAAACTGAGAGAGAATGAGAAGCCTACATATAATTTTTCAATTACTTTTGAACAATTCTACCAAGCACTAAGCATGCCAAAGTTGATATCTCCCAAAATTTTATACATGTACATATATAATTATAAAGACCGATTCTAACCATTTATAAATCTCCACTCAGTACCTATTGACAAATGGCAATAGCAATGATAACATGATTTTGAAAAGGGGTAAAGTTTTCAGATGCCTCATAACAATAGGAAGAATAATAATCATAATTATTGATTATTTATAAGAACAATGGAAAGTATTAATATCACAACATTAAAAAATGAACTCTTATTTATTAGCTACAAGATTGTTTTTTTCACATTTACTACAAAATTCAGTTTACTATGGACAAATTGGTTTTCAGAAATGAAATGGTTTCAATCAGCTAACCCGAGGGTTATGAATTCACTCCTCTGAGGCAAGACATAATATGGAAATGTACAGGGAATTAAAGAAGGCACAAAGACATTTCTGTTTTTAAACAATTACTTTTGTTGGACCCAGCAAGCCTTGAGGTGTTAAACTTTTTAGAATCACTTCGGGTTGTTACGACTTGAGAATTACAACAGAAAACACAAAGAAACTATGAATCATCAAAATCATAGGAGGGATACGAGTCTCCTCCTATCACTTCCTGCAGGTGTTCCTAGAGCTGTGGAGTCTGGATCTGTGATTGGGAGTTTCCTGCTGCCCCCGTGTTCCTGCTCTGCTACTACTCTGCATAGTGTTATTTCTGTCATAATTCCTATCATTATCATTAGTATCAATATACATAAAGTTGAATTTAATTGAACTTTCTTTGTAGCACCGTTTGTGCTACCGCACTTCAATTGCGACACAATCTTTTCCACGTACATCCTTGAGGATGGATTCGTCCATTTTCACTTCAGCTGCTTTAACCAAACTCCCTAGCAAAGAGAGAGTTAAAGTTCAATCATAAACCAGCTGCCAACAAATAATATCAAATACATTTTCTCTGTTTTACCAGACTGAACTGGTAGTTGGGTGACAAATTTAAAATCTAACCATTATTTGACAAATCAATTAATTGCCTATCATCACTTCAAGTTCATAATAATGCCTTTTATTATTATTGAGGCCCTACACATAGCCTTCATACACCTACTTCATAATGATGAGAGCAGGCTTGGGCTGGCACCAATTACAGATGCATTTTTTTTTATCAACAAATGTATTACGTTAGCTTTTGATTATAAGCCACAAACAAAGATGCTGTTTGCAAATTATCTAATCACCAGTGTTTATAGTTTCTGCTTGGACCAATTTACCTTTTTTTTGTCTTGTGTCCCTCCGCCAACGTGCGGTCAACTCCGTCAATACACTCACGGGAAAGTACGACCAGCTTCTTCCACGAACAACTGTTAGTGGCTGTGTCCGTTCTTTGTCTACCGATTATATGTGTGTGATGCATATATAATCCTCATTTTTCTTGCGTTTTTTGTCTGATCAACGGGAACGCGCTCCTCCACGGGAGCAGCCATGTTTGTTGTTGTTCTTCTGTTCTCGCCTCTGAATGGGAGAGCGCACCTGAAGGACGCGCTCTGATTGGCTAACGGCTAGGCGGCTTGATTCGAGCGTACTTTACCGGTGTGATCAGGCTACTGATATAGTTACATTTTTAAGTAATTATTGTAAAAATACTGGCGCAAAGCGATTGGAGAACTTTTGGTTATGAGCTCAAAATGCACTAAGGATTTTTTTTCAGGTGTCATTTAGTAGTCCCTCAATAAGTGGAGCGAAACTTAACGATACAGGCTTCAGCCTATGGCCTAAATGTTCATTCCTTGTGTTCTTTAGCCCAAGCAAGTCTCTTCTGCTTGTTGCCTGTCCTTTGCAGTGGTTTCCTAGCAGCTATTTTAACATGAAGGCCTTATTCACAAAGTCTCACCTTAACAGTTGTTCTAGAGATGTGTCTGCTGCTAGAACTCTGTGTGGCATTGACCTGGTCTCTAATCTGAACTGCTGTCAACCTGCGATTTCTGAGGCTGGTGACTCGGATGAACTTATCCTCTGCAGCAGAGGTGACTCTTGGTCTTCCTTTTCTGGGGCGGTCCTCATGTGAGCCAGTTTCTTGACAGCGCTTGATGGTTTTTGCAACTGCACTTTGGGACACTTTCAAAGTTTTCCCAATTTTTCAGACTGACTGATCTTAATTTCTTAAAGTAATGATGGCCACTTGTTTTTCTTTACTTAGCTGCTTTTTTCTTGCCATAATACAATTTCTAACAGTCTATTCACTAAGACTGCTGTGTATCCACCTGACTCCTGCACAACACAACTGATGGTCCCAACTCCATTTATAAGGCAAGAAATCCATCTTATTAAACCTGACAGGAGACACCTGTAAAGTGAAAAGTGTGGGGGTTACAGAGGCATCCACATTGGCTACAACCCATCGCTGTGCAAATGCTCCAAAGTTGAAATATCGAAGTAAAGGTATTACTGAAAAATATAACTGAGAAAACATCAATCGTCAAATGGAAAGTATAGTTTGTTATTCAGAAGCAGACAACAGTCATAATGACAACAGTAATAATAACCATGATGACATAAGCAGAGATGGAAAGAAAAGAGCAGAATAAGGCCAAAAAGGGATAAGGCGATTACTACTGTCTGTCTGTGGTTGCTGTGTCTGATGGGTGTGTTTGTCTACTTGAGGAGGAGGGGAGTAACAGAAGGTATGGTTGGGACACTCAAGTTTACTTAAATTGGCTTTTCTTCTTTTTTTCTTTTTTTTTTAAAGCAGACAGTCTTACATGGTGAATCAGCCCATGCCGTCTGACTCAACACAACTTGCTGTTGTTGGTCTGACAACATTTAGTGTTTGGAAATGCAGATTATTTTACAGAGATAGAAAACACATTTAATAGAGTTGAAAAATTATGTATCAAATTAAATGTTAT